CAGCAGGTCTTTTTCACATCTCTGCAGAAAAACGGTTTTCACTTTTTCCAACTCAGTGAAAAACAAACCAATCTGCGAAATGGAAACTCGCACATAAGCGAAAGGTGTCAGATGCTATTTGCTCTCCTGTCAGCCCTGTGTGTGAAGAAATCCTACAGCCTCAGTCTTATATAAGAGAGAACAATAAACCATGGCCAAGGACAAAGATCACCCGGGTTTTTCTTTCAGTTTAGTTAATTATTTATAATCCCATTGAATTCATAAACACCAGAGTTTAGAAACAATTATATTGTTAGAGAAACTGTAAAAGTGATTGGACAGAAGAATCCTAGTGTCTTGCTGAGACACCGGCTTCTCAGAAGCTGATGATATAACCTGATGAGAAACTCATTTAAGCATAAGGCTGGTGTGTTTCCCACAGAGAGACCCAAACCAACAATGAATGTGGTTTACTCATGAAAATGTTTGTATCTAATCAGACTGGTTCAGTTAAACTATAAACAGGCTCATCCCCTTTTTCTTTTTAGCCTTGTCTTATTAATGACCCACTGACTGTGTTCTGGCAGAAATCGGGCTCGTAGCCCAGCTGACAGTTACACACCAAATCAGCACCACCACCTGGGGGAAGCACACAGGTACCTCGGCTATTGCACTGAGTCTCTCCACGGGTCAGCATTCCTGTTTTTAGAGGAAGCGAAAGGGGTGGACATTGTAGAGATGGAGGGAAGGACACACTGGGCTGCATTAAGGGAATGGAAGGAGAATAGGAGAAGAGACAGGTGAATGGATGAACAAGACACACTCTAAAACAGAACCTGTAAAACATTTCCTTAGGTCAGGTTCATGTCTGCAAATGAGTCTTTTAGTTGGTGTCTTCTAAAACCAGTTTAGCTTCCATTGACTGGCAGTTAATGTAAGTTTGGTTACAAACAGTAACATGAGCCACTGACTGAACAAAGCAATATTTGCTTCAGTGTCAGAATGCTTGTGATTATTTCTGCACTGCAACATCAAGTTTTTCGTTTGTTAAACACATAAATGTTACAAGCACTGTAATCTTCCAGCTTTGATGAAAAATAAGCTTTGCTGCAGCTGCATTCTCACTCGGTGTAACCGGTTGCCCTACTGTTCTACATTGTCTAGGCCTGGTTGGACAGCTCTTGTTGAAAAGGATGTTAATGATGGAGCAGTGAAAAGGAGCATTTTAGCTAAAGAACAGAGCCAATCAGATCTTTTAGCACAGACCAATGTTTTTTGACAATGTATTTATTCACTTCTGTGCAGTGATTGCAATCATGTGCACTGCATCACATTTCATTACTATCTTTCCACTTTTTTATGTCTACAAATTATTGCATTGTGCATAAAGCACAAATTAACATTTTAAAATTTGTTCTGCTTTCAATTTCCTGAAAGAATTGCTAGCATTACATGCTTTGTGCACAATAAAGAATATGGTAAATACATTTATTTGATACTAAGACTTGTCTCTACATTTGCATTTTTCTGCAGGTAAACAACAAGAAAAAGAAAGATAAGATATTGTGTGTAAGTAGGCCAGCTTCATGCGTTGATGTATTTTTACTGCTTATCTACAGATCTTTGAGACACTTGCTGTGTGATGGCCTGCCCTCAAACATATTTTACCTTTAAATTGTCAGACCAACAAAGGATAACAGTGTAACTGCAGGTACAGTTTGACAGACTGTTTTAGTTTGCAGTTTTGCTTCCTGTTTGGTGCTTTTATTTTGGTTAGTTTCCTGTCTTGTGTCACCTCACCTGCCCCAGCTTTACCCTGATTCACAATCACTATTCATCGTTTCAAACTGTTGCTCATTATCCCCTGGTTTTCTGCCCATATATCCTCCTCCCTTCCCTCAGTCTGGTTGCTGGTTCATCTGGTCTCCATGCCTCGTTTGCCACATCTCTCTGTGCATCACACCCTGTCTGCTTTGTAAGTTTTTTGTGTCAGCAAGATTTCTTGGTTTGTTTTCTGGTTTTGTTTTAGTTGCTGTTTAGTTTGTTTCATCTCACTTCCTGACTGATCTCTGTTTTGTTATATTTCTTTGCCTATTAAATCTAGCTGTCAGGACTCAACACATGAATGAAACCAAGAGTTGCATTACCTTCAGAGGTTCCTAATATTCTGGCCCTCTCATGTATGCAGCTGGGAAAGACAAAAATATAGAGAAACTTCTAAATGTATACGTTTGACAATTTGACAAGGTGTGTTGGATGTGTTTGCCAGAGGAATTAAAAATGTTTGAACAAGACCCAACAAGACTGATGGCCTGTGTCACGTTCGGCAGTCCATATGGATTTTTTTTCCTCATTCTGTCTCATAGTTGAAGTATACCTATGATGTAAATTACAGGCCTCTCTCATCTTTTTTAAGTGGGAGAACTTGCACAATTGGTGGCTGACTAAATACATTTTTTGCCCCGCTGTATATAACATGTTAACAGATACGTGCAGATCCACATCAGTGTGGGCAGGCTGTGCAATGCACAGTGTATCTGCGCTCTGCAGAAATGCTAGAAATCCTTGATTTTAATTTTGATTTGCTACAAATTAACATTTTAAAATTTGTTCT